TCTGGTGGAACCGACCTTCGAATCTCTTCACCCAACACTTCTACTCGAAATGGAAGTAATCCCAACATCTTATTAGTCTCGGCACCAATCTAAACTGCGTCTGAGACAAGTGAATTCAACCATTGACCAACTTTCTGCTGAAATCATTGTCCTATCACTCTCGGCCTATCACAACTTGTGACTCCATTCCTCGACTTACACTCCACGCCTTTTGGCTAGTTTACTATGGCGTCATCACACCTGCTGTTTACCTTGCTTCTGCCTCTTCCCTCTCGATTTGCTGATCCGACTCGGGATTTCTATCCGGATCTACCTCATGGGTCCGTGGGTCCGTTTCTTATCCTCCTGGTTGACTGATTTCACTTGGTTCCAGCACCAGTGTACTTTTTACTTCCGGCTCTATCTCTCAAGCCTTCTATAGCACGTACAATGTCGCCTCAACTGCAGAGTGCCTAGGCTCTGATTCCCATGCTTAAAGATATTAGGTATTGCCCTCACGTGTCATCTCTTTGATTAAACCCGTGTACCCTGAGCAAACTGTGGGCCTCTATTTCTACTCGTCTGCTACCTTTCGAGTGGATTTCTAGTCAATTCAGCTATAAGGCCGAATTTCTGTGACGGTTGTGATTCTCCGTCTCTCTAGTCACGTGACCACTAGGCCCCCAAAGTTGTAGTTGTTTCTTCTAGCAGACTACTTTCACTGAGAACGTCTTCGCTTTATTTCCGAAACGTTCCCACCCACTTCTTCCTTACGATGCCTTTTCCTCTAGTCTCCTTTTTGCTTGTATTATTGTATCCTTGTTTTCTCCGAGTTTGTTTAGGAACTAGGAAAAGTTATTGCAAACTCTCTTTTCTTCTAATCTCCTGTTCATTAAATTTTTTACTATTGATATCATATCCGTTTCGGCAGAAAGTCGATCATTGGATTGACTTCACTTGTCTCTTTAGCGAGTTGTAGCTTGGTGGTGAGAATGACAAGACTTACTGATGATACCGACCACGAGGCCGGCGATACGTCCGACGCTAGGAATTATGATAACTACTATAGCAAAGGACTTCGGGCCAGGTGAGTCAAACTAAGTCGCCCTGACAACACGATCAAGTTGCTAAAACGAGGTCAGCCCACTTAGATACATCGAAAGGAAACTGCAACCATACCAAAGTCTGCACCATCTTGGTCTTCATATCTTATAAAATTAATAACGTACCTAATTACCGAAATTTGTTTGTTTGAAATTTTATTTATGCAGATACCCATACGCTTACTTGATAAAAGCTACCTTGGAAGCAAAATAATGTAAGATATTGCATACCTTGACAAAGGCTATACATAGCTGTAAC